CTGTGAGCCTGTGGCATGGCTCAAGAACATGCAGAAGTGTGCCAATTAAAACCTTGAAGGCCACGGGCTCGGTGAGTAGTAAATTGACCCTTTTGAGGTGAAGAGTGGGGAGGGACTGTTCTGTGCCAGGGAGGAGCCCTGGTTCCCCTGGGTCTTCTCGGTTGCCACCTGAGAGTTTCCAGATGGATGGGACTTGTGAGGAAGTCTGTCTTCTTGTGGGTGAGGGAGCCTGGGGCTGCTCTCTGGCCTGGAGTATTGATGCTGTTGGGGTGAGGGCTGCCCTCCTGGACTGTGCCCTGATGCTGTCGCTCCAGACAGGGCGCAGGAGGTTGGCAGGCATTTCCCTCGGGTGTCTCTGTGTGCCTTGCAGGACCTCCCTTGGCCTGGACTCTCAGGTCATCTGGGAGTCAGGCTGTCTCCCCCAGGGCTCTGGAGCCAGACTGAGCCTTAGGTGTGGCCCTGGTGTGGAGGAGTAAGCCTCCCTTGTGTGGCTGGCTGACCTCAGGTGTGGGAGAGGTCACAGTCACTCACGTGATCACACTTTGCTGCGCTTATGCCCAAGCCAGAGCCAGCCCAGGCCATCTTGGTATCTCAGCCTGAGGCATCTGTCCAAAGGATAGAATTTTCTTTAGTGACAGAGAGAGAAGTCAGATAGAATCAGTGGGTCAGGTTTGGCAGGTTCTGGGGCCTGTGAGGGTGCTGGGGGGTGCTTTTCCAGACTGGGAGGACTAGCCGCTGAGAGATGCCGGAGTGGCCCAGATGGGGACTTGGACTGAAGTAGCCGAAATTACTTCAGAGCAGAAAAACTTCCTGCTGCTCTCTGCTCTCCATAAAATCATGTTTACACATATGTGTGTGCACACACCACACGTATATACACATGGTAGCCTGGGCCTGGAGCCCAGAGAGCAGCAAGGAGGGTGGGCATCGGACCAGACGCTAGTTGGGTGGTGGGGGGCGGGGAGCCGGGGTTGGGCTGCTGCCCACACAGCCTTTGTCAGGGGACTGGGGCCAGGGCACAGGCAGAGTGAGTGTCTGCATATAGATGGCTGTTGGGGAGCCAAGGAAATGGCTTGGAAAATGTCCTTATTGGGTATTTGCAGCTCCAGTTTGGCTGGGGTCGGTGCCTGGTATGGGCAGATGGCTCTGCCTGCCTGTCTTTATGAAGGGGCTTCTTGAGCTCCCGGCGCCCAGCCGGGCTGCCCCAGACTGGGGAGCAGCACCATCCATGTGCTTTGTGCTGCGAGGAAGTCTGTCTTCTTGTGGGTGAGGGAGCCTGGGGCTGCTCTCTGGCCTGGAGTATTGATGCTGTTGGGGTGAGGGCTGCCCTCCTGGCCTGTGCCCTGATGCTGTCGCTCCAGACAGGGCACAGAAGGTTGGCAGGCATTTCCCTCGGGTGTCTGGGTGTGCTTCACAGGACCTCCCTTGGCCTGGGCTGTGACTTTGTGTTTGTGAAACCACTTAGCCTCACACAGCCTGAGTGGTAAGGATGGCGCTACCTTACAGCAAGAGAAAGGGGACAGAGGCCAGGCTGGGGTGGCATTGCTGGAAAGGGCAGGGTCAGGGCTTCTGGGCCTCAGTGTAGCTGCTACACTGGGCCAGCTGTTCCACGAGGGCCTATGCGAGAAAGGCATGATTCCTGGCGTGGCTAAATTGTGAAAGGGGACAGTTGGGAAGCCCAGGACCAGTGTGTCCCCAACCCACAGTACTGGGAGGAGTACTGCCTCAAGTCAGAAGCAGAAAAGAGGCAGGAGTGTACTGGTGGCTGTACCACCTCAAGGCAGGTACTGCCTCAATCTCCAAAAACTTTGCCCTCCATTTCTTATTGTTGGTATCAACCAAAGCTTCTGGACTCTTCTTCACTTCCCAGACCTGCCTAGGGTCTGGCATTTCTGCTCCTGTGTCTGCCTCTGAATCTCCTGCCCATTTCACCCCAAACACTATGACAGACTAACCCCTCCTTCAAACCATACAGATGGCCAGTCTGGCACCCCTCAGACTGTCTTCTCAGCAGATGTGGGTGCCACAGTACCAGGCAAGCCTCTTGAGTGAGGAACCTCAAGGCCGAGGTGGGAGCTCCCAGCTGGGTTTGGGGGCTGGGTGAACGCTGGGTGGCTGCTCTCCCCACCTTCTGTAACATGTAAAGTCTGTTCCAACCAAGCACTAACCAGGACCTGCTGTGAGCTGACGTCAAGACAGAGGACCCCGTGGCGCTGGCTTTGATGTGTCCCAGGGCTGCCGTGAGGGCGCACGGGGTTCTGAGTGGCAGTCTGGGAATGCACCATCTCTTACCACAGCTCTGGAGCAGCCCTGGCCCCAGGAAAGGATGCTGGAGGCTGAGCTGGGGTCCCTCTGAGTCATGCCATCTTTTCTCCCAGCTCAGCTTTCTGTGGCAAGCAGTCTGTGGTTCCTGCAACCCCACAGGCCCTTTTTCTTCCATTCTACCCCCTACCTGATTATTTCCCTTCAGCTGCTCTACTGTGGTGACTCCTCCACGAGGGTCTGGAGAGGTCCTGGGCCCGCAAGGAGGGAGGTTTCTCGTGCTCTTAAAATGCTGTCCTTGGGCAGGAAGTCGGGTGATAGTATTATTAAGGGTAGCTGCTGTTTGCTGAGTTAGCACACTCCGGGGCGCTTCCGACAAGTAACGGAGTTCATCCTTCATGACTGCCTGGTAAGAGGCAGAGGGAGCTGAGGTGTGGACAGTCTGCATTCCTTGCCCAAGGTCAGAGCCACTGAGTGTGATGGTCAGAATTTCAGCCTGACCTGTCTGACTCTTAAACTGATGCTCTGATGTGTGGGCGAGACTCCTGGCTCCCCCTGTGTCTGGAGAAGCTGAGCGGGGGTGGGAGGTGAGGGGGGCCAGTTTGCCTGTACTTTGACTTCAGGTGATCCTTCTTTGACCTCTGGCAAGCATCCCAGAGTTCGGGACTAAGGGTCCCAAGCCTTTGGTGAGTCACACTGGCAAGGACCCTTTGGAGCTCAACCCGTCCATCCGTGTCAGGAAAAGGTGATTGGGAAATGTTCCAGACGCCTCCACGTTCTCCAGCTCTTGCCCCACATTTCCTTTGAGGTTACTTCAGTTCAGCCAGTGCTCGCTGAGTGCCTTTGTGTGCCTGGCATTGTCTGCAAGAGGCGTGTCTCTCTACCTGGCCACGGAGAGTAAGAAGCATTGTAGGATCAGATGCTTCCAGGGTTGGTTTTGAGTTCCTGGGCAGGGCTGGGAAGAGCATGGGGCTGGGAGCTGTCTCCCTTGGCCTGGACCTGGCTCAAATTTGCTGTTTGTTCTTGAGCAAATTCTCTCACCTCCAGGACCTCAGTTTACCCATATGTACCACATAGTTGTGCTAAGTCCAGCAGGGGCAGGGCCATCCTCCTGTGTGGGAATAGGAAGTGAGATGAGGATGTTTGGATTGTCAGGGTGTCTGGGGGTGCTGAGCAATGCCCAGAGGGCAGATCTGTTAATGTGCACAGTGGGCGGGTGAGCCCAGCCTGGTAGAGAATTGGTCTACCTATAGAGCCGACACTGCCCCAGGGACAAGTAATATGCTGCCCTGGGCTGCTTCCTGCTCCCAGACTTGTCTTGCAGGCTGACCCTGTCGATGTGTTGGGAGATGAAGCAATGTGAGGGGCAACCCCTCATCACAACCCCATCTTGGGGGATCCTTGACTAGTGTTGATACTGATTTTATGAGATTGGTTCTTGTGCCCTGAAGAACCAGACTTCTCTAGGGACTTGGAAGCGCATTCTTTGGGGCCAAGATTAGCCTCTGGTTTGGGAGGGGCTGGAAAGGCCCCCACCCCCACACCTCCCAGCCTCTTCCTTTTGGTCCTGGCTAGTCCCACTTTAGCCAGAGGCAGAACCTGCTGCTTCATGTAGCAGCCCTGGATGACCCGTTTCTTCTTCCTGGAGGGGAAGTGTGTTTTCTTCTGTGCCATCATCCACCCTTGGCAGGTGACTGGTGTTTCAGGTCCAGCGGCCTTGGGCCTCTATGTGGTGCCCACGTGGGCCAGGAACAAAGCCCAGTGTGTTACTCCTGCTGCTATAACCATGCCACCTGCCCAGCCCTGCCCTCTGCCTCCCAACCCATCTGCTGCTCAACACAGGCTTCTCACCCTCCCCTTTGTTCCCTCTGGCTACAGTTCTGCCTTCAGTTGCAGTGGCCCCTGCTCTGCGGGTGGTGCCAGTTGGAGCTCACCTACACCAGTATAGGAGTGGGGAACAGGTTCAGGTGCAAACCTGGGAATTTGCCCCACCTCAACTTACAACAGAAAAGCCAGCTTTGGCCACCTGTGGGATCTTAGGTACAGAGTAGGATGTCTGGGTGGCCCTGGCATGTTTTTGGCAGTAGCCCCATTTCTGGAGATCATCCGCTTTTCCTGTGATGGAGTGAGTTCTCTCAAAGAAGTCCCTGGGTGATCTCTGGGCTGCAGATTCTGTGGGTGGTATTAGAGCCCTCCTCCCTGACCTGTTGGCCATGTCTGATGCCAAACCCTCAGTGGATGTGTGAGTTTGAGTAATCTTTCCAGGGTGCTCTTTGGATTGTGGCTAAGCTTGGCTCAATGTCCTGGATCCTAAAGATGGTGGGGAGGGTTGCCTGCCAATGTCCCCCGCTCCTAGGCCCTCATCGGTACCTCCTGTGATCTTGTCTCCCAAGCTTAAGACCACTAGGGAGCCTCCCTGTGCTCCTTACCACTTTTTGGGCCTCCCTCCCTCTTCTGTGCTCTAGTGGCACCACCTGCCCATACCATTAACTTGGCAGGAGCTTCACCGTGTCCTGTGTAATTGTCCCGTGTCTCCCCTGCAGACTGGTGTCCTGGACGGTACTGATCTTTGCATTGTGCGGAGTGCCCTGCACACTTTAAAAGTTCCTCTGTGGATACTAGGCAGTGTGGTCTTCTGGTCATTCTTACTGCACTTATTGGACATCTCCTGTTCATAGGGTGCTGGGGCACCTGTTAGGACAGTGACTGACCCCAACTCTCCATGTGCCCATCTGCAGGTGCCGAGGCAGCCATTGTCTTCATCAAGGAGCCGTCTTCCCAAGATGCACTGCAGGGGCGCCGGGCGCTACTCCGCTGTGAGGTTGAGGCCCCTGTCCCTGTACATGTCTACTGGCTGCTGGACGGGGCCCCTGTCCAGGACACGGAGCGGCGTTTTGCCCAGGGCAGCAGCTTGAGCTTCACAGCTGTGGACCGGCTGCAGGACTCTGGAGCCTTCCAGTGCGTGGCTCGGGATAATGCCACTGGAGAGGAGGCCCGCAGTGCCAACGCCTCCTTCAACATCAAATGTGAGTACCGGAGCCTGTGCCCAGCCTCCTGCTGCTACTCCCTCAACTATGGAGTCCTCCAGCACCCTTCCTTTCCCCCTGCCATACCCTTTTCCCGTTGAGCAGGACAGGCAGAATGCAGTTATGTTCAGCTTTCTGCTTGTGTGACTAAGAGGAGGTGAAAAGTGTTCTTTTTTCCAAAGGCTTATTCTTTCCCTCCCAGTCTTGAGCCCATTTGTCTGCTGAATGCTTTTGAAAATGGCAACATGGCCAAGTGTCAGGACTGATCTACCAGGGACTGGGTGGGCCTCTGGTTCCCTTGTCTGGACCCTCCGCTCCACAGGCCTCCCACACACAGCCTCTTAGCTTTGGAGCCTCCACGTTCTGTCATTTCCTGTGCGTTCTCCTTCCCTTCGGCCCTTCCACCCTTGCCCTGTGCTGCCTTTAACTCTGCAACCATGGTACCTGCTACAGGGATTGAAACGGGTCCTGTGGTCCTGAAGCATCCAGCCTTGGAAGCAGATATCCAGCCACAGACCCAGGTCACGCTACGTTGTCACATTGATGGGCACCCTCGGTAAGGAGTCGACTTTGAGGGTGGGGGATGGAGAAGGGTATTTGAGACAGGTAGATATGTCTCCCCAAAGCCTGGACTCTCTTCAGAGGCACCTCCTTTCCCACATACGCTTCAGAGGCACAACCCTTTCCCATATATGCTCCACGCCAGCCCTTAGTGACCCCAGAAGAGGTGACATTGTAATACAGAGTGATCTTGGATTCTGGGAGCTTCGAGATTTAGTATGTCAACCTGTTTCTGCCCCTGATTTGTTATGTGCCCTTGTGCAAGTCAGTTTCCCTCCCCAGGGCTCAGTTTCCCCCTGTAAACTGAGTAAGGATTGGCTCATGTCCTCTGATTTTGTATTGTCTCCACTGGCCACTTGAGTCTCTCCAGCCCCCCTGCTTCTGACCTCATTGGCCCCACAGGCCCACCTACCAGTGGTACCGAGATGGGAACCCTATAGCCGATGGTCAGAGTAACCACACGGTCAGCAGCAAGGAGCGGAACCTGACCCTCCGGCCAGCTGGCCCTGAGCATAGTGGTCTCTACTCCTGCTGTGCCCACAATGCCTTTGGCCAGGCCTGCAGCAGCCAGAACTTCACCTTGAGCATTGCTGGTGAGCTTGGGTATAGATGGAGGGGGTGAGGTGAGGGTGGGAAGGGCCTCCCTACCCAGCCTGCTCATGAGTCTCTTCTTACCTCTGCCCCAGATGAGAGTTTTGCCAGAGTGGTATTGGCACCCCAGGATGTGGTAGTGCCAAAGAATGAGGAGGCCATGTTCCATTGTCAGTTCTCAGCCCAGCCACCCCCGAGTCTGCAGTGGGTCTTTGAGGATGAGACTCCTATCACTAATCGCAGTCGGTAAGGCTTTGGCAGGGGGCCCGCAAGTGTGATGATACAGGTTGTGTGCTGTACACGAGTCCTCTAAAAGAGAATGCAGTTCCATCACAGACATCAGATGTATACATGTATTACTTCACATTTACAGCAGATGGCAGTGAAATGTCCTGCTATTATAAAATGAATCCAACAAAAAGAAGAGCCTCCAGGAATGGCTCCTTTTTCCAGTTTGCACAAAGGCACGGTGTGAGCTAGCAATAACTCTCTCCCCTCCTCCCCACATGGTTCTGGGGGAGGGGGAGCCGCATAGAGACCCAAGGATGGAAGGACACAGGATCTGGGTAATAGTAGTCTGTATTGTAAGGTCCTAGATGGCAAGGATGCCTTACACACACACACACACTCTCTCTCTCTCTCTCTCACACTCACACACACACACACACACACACACACACTTTTTGGAGGGAGCAAACCCTTCCAGAAAGTGCTAGGAGGCTAGGCAGTACCAACCCCGCTATAGGGACTTATGTCCTTCCCCAGGTCCCGTGAGCACCTTGGGGTCTTTGTGGGTATGGCTCGTTAGATTGGGGGCTTCAACCCTGACCCCAGCTGTCTTCCACTCTGGGGACAGACTCAGTAGTTCATCTGATGTAGCCTCTGGACTTTGGACTATTAGGAGCAGCCTTTTCTAAACTCTGTGGGAAGGTGGCTCCTCTGTCTCAACAGCATGCTGTTGATTGCTCCATCTCTCACTTGCACTCTTGCTCACCTTGCCGCCCCAAAGACTGAGTCTCTTGTAGCTGGAGTACACCCACATACAAGTGTGAAAATCTGCACACATGCATATCTATACACACACACACACACACACCCATACACACACACACACACCCATACACACACACACACACACCCATACACACACACACACACCCATACACACACACACACACCCATACACACACACACACACACACACACACACACACACACACACCCCATTGTGGTTTGTGGGCTTCCTTTGCTCTGCTCTGTCCTTGGCTGATTCTGACATCTCTGACCCCTGCTGAACTGGGTTTTATCACATGCCTTGCCAGAAGGAGACGCCTTCCAAATAGCACTCTCTCCCCTCTGCAGTCCCCCACACCTCCGCAGAGCCACGGTGTTTGCCAATGGGTCCCTGCTGCTGACCCAGGTCCGGCCGCGCAACGCAGGGGTCTACCGCTGCATAGGCCAGGGGCAGAGGGGCCCTCCTGTCGTCCTGGAGGCCACGCTTCACCTGGCAGGTGGGATTCTGGGCCTGGGTTGCTGAGATGGGGACTCTTTTCAATGTTGGGATGAAGAGATTTAGACTCTTGACTCCACTAAGAAAGCAGTTTGCAGGGCAGAGGGAAGAAGAGGCTGCTGGGGGAGGAAGAGGTGATGCAGAAAGTTGTAGGCGAGGGTGTATGTTAGAAAGGGTCAGAGCTTGCTGTGGGAGAATGTCAGGTACCTTGAGACCCATAGTAATTGGGCTGTTTCCCTCCCGCTCACTTCTCCGCAGAAATTGAAGACATGTCACCGTTTGAACCACGGGTGTTTACAGCTGGCAGTGAGGAGCGTGTGGCCTGCCCACCCCCCCAGGGTCTGCCAGAGCCCAGTGTGTGGTGGGAGCATGCAGGAGTCCGGCTGCCTGCCCATGGCAGAGTCTACCAGAAGGGCCACGAGCTGGTATTTGCCAACACAGCCGAGAGTGATGCTGGCGTCTACACCTGCCATGCAGCCAACCTGGCTGGTCAGCGGCAACAGGATGTCAACATTACCGTGGCCAGTGAGCACCTGGAGGTCGAGGCGGGTGGAGGGAAACCAGGTCCCAGGGAGTCTTGGCCTCCGGTGTGATGGACAGAGGCTTCCTTGGTGCTCACCTGCGGCCCTTTCAGCTGTGGGCCCTGCAAGTTTGGGAGTTAGCCCTCTGCTGGGAGGGAATGTTGGAGAGAGCCAGCCACAGAGGTTGGGGTGACAACCTTCACATCTGATGGTCCTTTGGCCACAGACTGGAAGTTCTCGAGACCCAGATCCTAAAGCACAGGGTGGCCATGAGTGGCAAGTCACCCACCTTGCTAAGGCTCAGTTTCCTCATCTATAAAATGGGGCCAATAACTACACAAAATGGAAAGATCCATTGAATAAGATTTAAGATCTTAAGACATAAAGATTTTTCCCTTTTGGGAAGGTGTTGGTCAGCAAAGTTATAGGTAGTGGTTCTTTTATTTGTTATACTTTTTAAATTTCTTTTTTTAAGTCATAAAGTTTATTTTTAGTCATTGAGTTAAAAGTTTCATTTGTTTTTTTGAATTTTTGCATAGACGAATTGGTGGGTAGGCTAGAGATGCGTGTGGGGGTGGTGGTGAGAGGATTCAGAAGAGACGGAGTGGGGAGCGGAATAGGCGGATACACTGAAATACACTGCTGAGGGGAGCAGTGGGTGAGATGAGAGGTCTGCTGCACTGTGTGGGTAGCTCCCTGGCCGGGCGTGGAACTCGTGTTGCAGTGACTGGCAATAGCTTGATTGTATACTGAGACTTAACCCCTGTGCCTCCAGGAAGACCCCCTTTCTAAATTTCTATAATGAACATATTACTTGTGAAATAGGAGGAGGGGGAATACAATAAGTATAACTGAGAGAACATATGATACAGACTTATATGCTTATGATTTATTCACGTTATTTACTTTTTTCCTCACACCATGCCTGTTTTAAACCCCTGCGATAGCTTAACAGGATACACAAGGCAAACTCTTAAACATAAACACACACATTTTGCAAATCTGATTCTTCACTGACCTTTACATCTTTCCAAGTAAGGAAATTTTGGAAATTTGGAAAGATTTTGGCTATGGGCAGGGCTTGGAAATTTGAAGTTGTAATGATATTATTGCTATTAAGATATGAAACCGCAGAGACAGGCCCTCTGGTGCTCAGGTGCCTGGTGGGCTGGGTATGGACAGGTACCCTGTGCTTGTTGTGCCCCAAGATGGCAGACCCTACGGCAGGCAACCTTTCTCCAGTCGGACTCTACTGGGGGTACCTTTAGGAATCTGGCATCCCACTCTAGCTCTCCTCACCTGCACACTCTGGTGGTGGGACCCAGCAGAGTGTTTTACGAATGCTCCTGGTGATGCCAGTGGGTGGAGAATGTGGCTGTGGGCAGGCACCAGCAGGGCTGTGGCCTGTGCCTCATGCTGTCCTCTGAGCCATCAGCTATTGAGGTCCGAGTTGAGGTCGGAGTGCGCACGCACACAGGGCCGGACAGGGCAAAGGGACAGGGCACAGCGTTGAGAGGAGTGCGTGCTCTGCTACTGCATTCTTTCAGCAGATTTACCCAGGGCCTTTTTTGTGCTGGGCACCATTCCCCTTACTGGGAGTGCAGCAGTAAGCAAAGGAGACTGATACTGCTCCTCTGGTGGAGCTTACAGTCTAATGGGAGACCAAGCAAATGAGAAAGACAGCCACATGAACAGAGACATCATTTTAGGTGGCAGGAGAGCCTTAAAGAAAAACAGGTGGTAGAGAAGACAGGGTGAGGGCATGGGGTTGTTTAGCAAGACTTCAGTAGGGACCGCTGTAGTGGTGCAAGGGGTTAAGATGCAGCACTATGAAGCTATCTGCAGCCACTGCAGCACAAGTTTGATCCCTGGCCAGGGAGGGGAACCACATGGCACAGCAGACCTCTCCTGCCTCGCCCGCTGCTCCCCTCAGCAGTGTATTTCGGTGCAGCTGCCTATTCTGTCTCTGGTGAATCCTCTCACCCTCCGCATCTCTGGCCTGCACCCCAGCTCTTGTATGCATAAAGAAAGAAAACTTTAAAAAAAAAAATTAAAAAAAAAAAAAAAGACTTCTGTTAAAGGTGAAATTTGAACCAATGCTTAAGTGAATGAAGGAGCCATTGTGGGAATAGTCCCTGAAACAGAAGTGGTGGTGGAGGGACAGTGTCACTTGTGTGGCTTGAGGTGCAAAAGTGTTGGTGAGTGGGATGAGGTCTTTGCTGGTTTTGAGAAGGAGGGTGAGGTTTTCATGAGCTCTCCTGGCTTTCCAAGGAGACTGGAGTATTAGAGGTCAGTGTCTAAATAGGGTGACCAGCTTGGAGATGACTATAGCCTAGGGGGGACTATAGTGGTGGAAGTGAGAGGTGCTTAAATTTAGGACCTGTTTTGGACCTACAGTAAGTGGGGTCTGTGTGGAAAGAATGTGCTGGAGAGGGCTGTAGAGAGATAAGTCAAGACTAGGATTTTGGCACTTGGCTGGTGGTGCTGCTGTTCACCGTGATGGGGAAAACTGTGATGAACAGGTTTGGGGGGCAGTCAGGAGTTTACTTTCACACACAGGAAGCTTGAGATGCCTGTTAGACTCCCTGCTGGAGATGCCAGAAACTCAAACATGGGGTTGGGAGTGGGTGGGCAGGCGTTGGGATATGGGTGTGGGAATCACCTATTCATGTGGTATGGAAGGCTGTGGACTGGGTGAGATCACTCAGGGAATGAACGTGGCAAAAATGGAACAGAGATCTGAGGACTGAGCCTGGGGACATAAGGGTGTAATAAAAAGAGGAAGGGTTTTAGAGTTGTAAAGACCAAAGTTTTCATTCCTACCTCTGTCATATATTAGCAGATAACCTTACCTTTGAATCTCTCTTTTCTTCATTGTAAAATGCTATTATAGATATACACATCTGGGCTGGTGGGGGAGCAGTTGTGGCCCTGACTGAAATAATGTCCAAAGGTGCTGGCACATTGTTCTTCACTAAGGCCTAATGCAGCAGTTACCACCTGAGAGGGGGTTGGGCTTCAGATTTCAGGGCCTACTAAGGTATTAGAGTTTGTTGAGATTGGATCACTGTTTCTTCTCTGCCTTGCTAGCTGTGCCCACATGGCTGAAGAAGCCCCAGGACAGCCATCTGGAAGAGGGCAAGCCAGGTTATTTGCATTGCCTGACACAGGCCATACCAAAACCCACGGTCATCTGGTACAGAAATCAGATGCTCATCTCAGAGGTGAGAATGAGGATCACTGGTGTGTGTGTGTGTGTGTGTGTGTGAAGTGATGGACTGCCCCCCTCCCCCCCCACTGCTTTCTTCTGTGTTCACTTCCATTGTCTCCTTCCTGGCTGCCCCCAGGGAGGTGTTGGTGTGGGCTCGGGATGAGACCTCTCGTGGTCCCATCTTGTGTGCTGCAGGACTCACGGTTTGAGGTCTCCAAGAATGGAACCTTGCGCATCAACAGCGTGGAGGTGTACGATGGGACATGGTACCGCTGTGTGAGCAGCACCCCAGCTGGCAGCATCGAGGCTCAAGCCCGAGTCCAAGTGCTGGGTGAGCGGGCACGTGTGGCATGGGGAGAGCGCCTTGCCTGGTGGGCAGGAGAGTGAAAGGGGAGGAGGAACTCAGGGTTCAGGATCTTCAGGCCTGGTCCCGGACTATCTAGTTGCCTCAATTCCTCCTCTGTCCACCCACCCACCCTCATTCTACTGAAACAGAAAAGCTCAAGTTCACACCACCACCCCGGCCGCAGCAGTGCATGGAGTTTGACAAGGAGGCCACGGTGGCCTGCTCAGCCACAGGCCGAGAGAAACCCACTATTAAGTGGGTACGGGCAGGTGGGTACTGAGCGGGCATGGGATAAGGGGCAGTCAGATGTGTGCATGTCCGAGGACCGACTGAGCGCCCAGCACTGTGCCAGAAATTGTGGGGTAGACATGAAATAATACAGCCAATGTATAGTCCGATTAGGAAGGAAAAAGCCAGATACAAAAGTCTGATTACAGCATTGGGCAGCATAGAAAGTGACCAAGATGATGAGTGATCAGAGAGGACCAGACAGTGCTGTTAATCCCTCCTCCCTCCTCTCTTTTTCCCTTTCCAACATAAAAATAACATGGACTCCTTTAGAAAATTTTGGAGGAAAAAAATGCACAGTCCCACCATCCACCATCTTTGGGTGCACCTCCTCTTTTTCTCTGGGCATCTTCCTGTTTTTGCATAGCAGCTTTACTGTACAGACAATTTTCACTCGTTTAACTTATCTGAGTAAATCGTACTTACTATAGAAGCAGAAGGGGCAGATAACTGTCTGACTATATCCTTTTAAACGTAGCATTACAAGCTTTCCCCCACATTTTATACATAAACCTTGGTTTTGATGGTTGCAATAATACTGCAATGATTAGATACACTGCTTTTACTCAGATATTCCCTAAATGTTAGATTTGGGTAGTCAGCCGTCCTCCCTGCCTCCCTCCCGTTCTCCATCTCCCTCTCTGTTTCTCTCTTTTTATTGCCGCAATAAACATCTTTAAACCAGAGTTTTTTCTGGATTTGGGTTTATTTCCTTTGGGAAAGATTCCCAGAAATGGAATCATTATGTAGAAAAGGGCATGCACATTTTTACAACCCTTGATGTGGTTTGCCAAATTGTTTTTTAACGGGCTGGACCAGTTTTTACATTTCCATTAACAGAGAGGGTTAGAGGTTGTAGGTTCTAAGGAGGAAGCCTGCTCTCTCTGCTCAGGTGGTCTGAGGGAGCTTTCTGTGGGAGGTGGGGCTCAAGATGCATCTGAAGCCTGGGATACTTTGGGTTCTGGGAGTGAGAAGTGACGGGCAGGAAGCATGAAAACAAGGCCAAGTCTCAGCCCTATCAGGAGTCCACTTTGGCAGAAGTGGAACATTATATAGGGTAGTAGAAGGAGGTGAGGCTGGACAATTGGAAAAGGAGGAAATCATGGGGACTGAAAGCCTGGCTCAGGAGCTTGGACTTTGCGGGTAGCCAGGAGTGGTGGCCCGCTTTGACGGAGAGGTGAGTGACTGCGGGCATTGCCAGCCACCATGTAACTCTGGCCCACCTCTTAACTTCCCTTTGTTGCTCCTACAGATGGGAGCAGCCTCCCAGAGTGGGTGACAGACAATGCCGGGACCCTGCACTTCGCCAGGGTGACCCGCGATGATGCCGGCAATTACACTTGCATCGCCTCCAACGCGTTGCAGGGCCAGATCCGGGCCCACGTTCAGCTCACCGTGGCAGGTACACCTGGGCCCGGGGCTGGCAGGCCCTGCGGGACAGAGCCCCGCACCCTGCTGCCTCCTTGCTCACTGCTTCCTGCCCCTGGCCGGGCTCTTCCCACCCAGTGTTCATCACCTTCAAGGTGAAGCCGGAGCGCACCACCGTGTACCAGGGTCACACAGCCCTGCTGCGTTGTGAAGCCCAGGGGGACCCCAAGCCGCTCATTCAGTGGAAGGGCAAAGACCGCATCTTGGACCCCACTAAGCTGGGACCCAGGTAGGGCCGTCTCCTGCCCATACTCACCCCGTCACCCCGGGGGCCTGTGAGGTGGGCAGCACCATGGCTTCTCTCCTGGCAGGATGCACATCTTCCAGAATGGCTCCCTGGTGATCCACGACGTGGCCCCTGAAGACTCAGGCCACTATACCTGCATCGCAGGCAACAGCTGCAACATCGAGCACACGGAAGCCCCCCTCTACGTCGTGGGTATGGGCCAGGGAGGGGGTCCTGCTCAGGAGTGGTGGGGCTAGACTTCTTTCTCATCTTCATACTCAATGGCCCCCAAGTACCTGGAAAGCACTTAAATCCTTGTGGTGGTGGTGGGAAAAATAGCTGTGTCCCCATGGCTTTGCCCTGCCACAGGCCCCGTTTCCTTACTTAGAGCTAGACTGCCATTTATTTCACACCCTATGGCCGTGTGTGTGTGTGTGTGTGTGTGTGTGTGTGTGTGTACACTCATTTCAAAATGCTTCCTCTCGGGGCTCCCCCCGCCCCAGCCACACATATCCCTGGGTGTGCAGGGAGGGTACTGGGTCACCAGGCAGCCGAACCTGGTGCTTGTGCCTTGGAGGGAAGCTGTGCCAGATGAAAGGATCCATTAGGGTCAGGGACTTGGGGTTCGGGAGCAGCCTGTCCTGCCTACCAGCTCTTTGCCCTGGGGGATGTTCTTTCTCCTCCAGGGACTTTCTCCTGCAACTGTAGATGGGAGAGGTTTAAGTGAGCAGTTTTCAGACTTTTTTGATTGAGTAGCAAAATGATTCTTCTAGACAGTGTTATGTGGAACTTTACATAGACAACAGTGTAACAACAGGCCCCTTGGTTGAGATCACTAGGGGCAGTCCAGTTTGGGCTTTGTCCCTTCATACCCCTACTTACTCCTAGGCCCTCTTTCTGGGACTCTATGCTTTGAAAAGCCCTGAGCTAGTGGATCCCCTTTAACAAATGACATTTCTTGAAATGCCAGGCAATGTCTAGGATTCTAAACTGGAATCCCAGATGATGCTCTTCAGGGCCTGACTTAGGAAGCCTGTTAACACACACTGTGTTTGTGGTGGTGCTTTGGCAGGTGTGTTTTTATCTTTGTCCCTGGCTGCACAGCCAGCTTGAAGATCACCAGTCTTATCTTCAGAGCTCCCATGGCATGGCCCTCGTTAAAACCAATGAAGGTGGTGACCCTACCTGGTCTCTCAGGCCGACGAGTGTTGGGGAGGTTGTCCATTGTGGGGTGCTAGTAGAGAGGGAGGGCTGGGGCTGGCTGCAGTGGCTTCTACCCAGACCTGCCTGTATGTGTCTCAGACAAGCCTGTGCTGGAGGAGTCAGAGGGCTCGGGCAGCCCTCCCCCCTACAAGATGATCCAGACCATTGGCCTGTCCGTGGGCGCAGCTGTGGCCTACATCATTGCCGTGCTGGGTCTCATGTTCTACTGCAAGAAGCGCTGCAAAGCCAAGAGGCTTCAGAAACAGCCTGAGGGCGAGGAGCCAGAGATGGAGTGCCTCAATGGTGAGGGGCCCCTCTAGGTGGGAGGTGGTGAGGGCCCGTTCGCTGCATGGAGGAGAGCTGCAACCCTGAAGGGAAGGGTCGGCCATGCTGTAGTACTGGGTGTGGGAACCTGGGCCTAAGCATAGCTGCCTCTCCTGCCCTCAGCCCCGCTCCCCCAGCAGGATGCCTGAAATTGGCCTATTCCCAGAACCCTGGCTTCTGAGCAACAGGTGTCCAGACTTCTTTATTGGTGCCTCTTAGGCCAACCTCCAATGTTTTCTTTGATATTTCCAGTTTTTTTTCTTCCTGCTAGGTTAATTAGCATAGGTGTGCAGGTCTCTGTTACACCTGTTTGTCTACTTCCATTAGTCTTTAAGTTCCCCTCACTGCCATCTGGCTGGTTGCGTCCTTGGACCCTCCTCTGACTGGGAGCTCCCTGGGAGTGCTGCTGGGTCTCCTGTCAGCAGAGGTTCTGGAGCAGGGCCTATGTCTCCATCACCGTGATTCCCCTGGTGCTTCTTTAGGACTTTGTATATAGGAGGCCCTGTGAAAGCAAAATCCTTGTGTGGAAATGGTGTCCAGGAGCAGTGACTCAGATTAGATGTGTGCAGTTTGTTCCATTCCTGAGGTCTGACTGACAGCATCAATAAGTGCTCATGTCCTACGGGATGCCAGTTTCTCTGGCCTCATCACTGGTTTGTGGAACACCATGACTGTGTCCACTGGGCAGAAGTCAGGGGTTGGGGGAGAGAATCGAGGCCCCTGTGGTGGAAAGAATGTCAGGTTTCTTCTTCATGCTTCCTGTGCTCCTTGTCCCCAGGCGGTCCTGTGCAGAACGGTCAGCCCTCTGCAGAGATCCAGGAGGAAGTGGCCTTGACCAGCTTGGGCTCCGGCTCCGCAGCCACCAACAAACGCCACAGTACAACTGACAAGATGCACTTCCCGAGGGCCAGCCTGCAGCCCATCACCACACTGGGTATGATGCTGTGCCACAGCTTCCCCCACTAATATAGGCCACCAGTGGTGATTTGAGACTAGATCAGGCTGGTAACTCTGAAGTTCCTGAAACCTTGCACATTGGAAGGGGCGGGGGAGCATGGGGTGATCCTGTCCAGTGTGCCCCCCGTGCCTTTTTTTCACACGCCTTCATTCCTCTGCATTATCATTGCTTGATATTTTCTTCTCATGTGACTCCATTTTTCTCTTTCTATTTTTTTTTAAAGATTTATTTTTTATTTATTGATGCATACAGATACTGGGGTATAGGCCAGAGGTGTGGGGGATTAGAGGATTCACCAGAGAGAGAGTGGGGAGCAGAACAGGCAGACTGACTGAAATACACTGCTGAGGGGAGCCACAGGCAAGTCAGGAGAGGCCTGCTGCACCATGTGGGTAGTTCCCTGGCCGGGGATCGAACTCATACCATAGTGGCTGGTGATAACTTGATAGTGCTGAGACTTTAACCCCTGCACCACAGAGGTCACATTTTTGTCTTTTTAAACCTAAGGACCTCCCTGATGGCACAGGCAGTTGAGCGCTGCACTGTGAAGCTGTCCACAGCCTCTGCAGCGCAGGTTCAATCCCAGCTGGCTGGCGAGAATCCCACATGGTGTGGCAGACCTTTCCTGTCTCGCCTGCTGCTCCCCTCAGCAATGCATTTTGTCAGTCTGCCTGTTCTGTTGCCCGCTCTGTCTCTGGTGAAGCCTGTTTTAATGTGGAAGACAGTGAAGCCCAGGAAAGGGCAAGTGGGTTGCCTAGGGTACACAGCAGAACAGGGCTGCCACACAGTCCAGGGAGGTGGGTGCAGCAGAGACCCTCCCCACCCAGCGTGTGACAGGAGAGACACCTCCCGAGTAAGGGGCTTCTCTGCTTGAGTGAAGGCAGCTGACTGACTCCAATCTGTACCCACAGGGAAGAGTGAGTTTGGGGAGGTGTTCCTGGCAAAGGCACAGGGCTTGGAGGAGGGGGTGCCAGAGACCCTGGTGCTTGTGAAGAGCCTGCAGAGCCGTGATGAGCAGCAACAGCTGGACTTCCGCAGGGAGTTCGAGATGTTTGGGAAGCTGAACCACGCCAACGTGGTGCGACTGCTGGGGCTGTGCCGGGAGGCTGAGCCCCACTACATGGTGCTGGAGTATGTGGACCTGGTATGCTGTGGCAGTACCCTGACGGGTGGGGGTGGGGTGGGACGAGGCCCCATGGGATCGTGTCATGTGGCGTCAGCCATCCTGCCATAGCCACCTTGAGATGCTGAGCTTCCTGCCCCCAGCTCTCAGACCCCTGCTTCTCCTTGATCAGCACACCACCCCTGCATTTTGCCAGCCCCTGTCTGGGGATTGGTCCTATCTGGGTAAGACCCTGAGCATGTTCCTGGCTTCTCTGCACACTTCATGAGTGCCTTCCAGGTGCTTCATGAGTGCTTCCCTGACTCATTTTTGGTTTGTTATTTTTTTCCTTTTCTCTAAGCCTTGTCTCACTTTGACTTATCTAAACCCAGTTTCTTTCCTTCCCAGCACCCCTGCTGTTTGAGGCATCAGTATGGACCCCATCACCAACCCTTCTTTGTAGTCTAGTTGTCATGCCCAGATCTGCCTCTTGGTCTCCATTCTCTGACTCATCCCAATCCTACCCCTTAGGTCTCAAAGTGCTACTTACCAGCCTCCCCACCCTGGGGCAGGAGGGGAGGAGCAATCCTTGATCTCTCAATTGGCCAGTGCTTATGAGTCCATATTTCTGCTGCTTGTGTTCCCCCCTTTTTGTTTATGTTTTAGATTAGAGGGCAGGGGCTTTGGGGCTCCCCTGTGGGTAGGAATGACAGTCCTCTCTTTCTGACTGAGAAGCTTCTGGGATGCATAGCCTATATATGTTTAAATTCTTGTCAGTCTTGCCCTGGGAAGGGTCAGACTGGCCAGGGGCTTCTCACACCTGGCTGAGCAGGTACTCAGGGTGCACCTGCTCTGTTTGATGCTTTGGAGATAATGGCTGGGCACTGACCTCACAGAGACACCGCTCCACTTTTCCCTCAGGGGGACCTCAAACAATTCCTAAGGATTTCCAAGAGCAAGGATGAGAAATTGAAGTCACAGCCCCTCAGCACTAAGCAGAAGGTGAGGACAGGGAGGGAGAGGTCCTCAAGGGTGGCCTGGGAGGGAGCTAGGGCGGAGATGGTAACTGAGGTTCCACTGAATGATTGCTGCCTGGGGGCCAGGTCCTGCGGTAAGTACAGTAACCCCCTGAAAGACGTCACTCTCACTCTCCTTACTTTGTGGATGAAGAAACTGATGCGTGGGGAGGTTAGGTGACTTGTCCCAGTTCATGTGGCCTGCAAGTGGCTTCATATCACTGTGTGCCCTCCACATGGAAGAACTGTTCTTTGCCCTTGCTGCTGGAACAGGACAGCTGCCCCCTCATGGCAGTACGCTGGAGTAGCGGCCTGTCTGGGGGCCTGCTGGACTGGGTGTGGCCCTGAGCATGTTTCTGTAGCCTCTGAGCTGGAATACTCCTCTGTGAGTGGCCTGCCTGTGTCTCTCACTTTCACTCTCGCTTAGACCGTAGGCTGCCTGCCCAGCTTTTCCTTCTGGCTCTCCTGCGTTCTGGACAGTTTTCCTATGCTGGGCCCCATGTGGAGCAGACCTGGGTTGACACAGTAAAGAGCTTGCCCATTACCCTCTGCCCCACCTTATTGGATGCCTTCTCTGGTGCAGCTCCTCCTGCCCACAGCTTCCTCCCCACCTTTCCCCTCTGAAAGGGAGCCACCCTTTCGTGAGGCTGGGTACCCCTCCTCCAGCTGACAGCAGAGTGTCCTTATTAGCCAATCAAAATCAGGGGCAGGTAGCAGGAACTGCTAGGACTCTCCCTCCCAGGTGACCATTCCTTGCCTTGGAGTTTGACCCAGGTCACAGACTCTGGGGACACGCCAAAAGCCCGGGTTGGTTGATCAGTCGTGCGAGAGGGACAAGATTTGTGCCCTTCAGGCTGGCTTCCTCCCATTAACAGTGAACTTACTAAGGTCCAGGCAGGGCAAGTAACCTGGGCCCCTGTACGAGTCCCTGCCTCCATCCTGTGAAGCTGTCTGCGGTGATTAGGTGGGAAGCCACAGGACAGGAGGTGCTGTTCTACTGAGGTGGATGTCAGGACCTCAGAGCTCACAAATCAGGACTCACGTGCAGCCAGCAAATTTACTGAGCTAGCCATGGCCCTGCGAATCATCTGCCAGGCACTCTTGGGGCCCTTAGGATCTAGTGGGGAGCTTAGGTAAATGAGGAAGATAAGTGCTTTAAGCACTTCAGGTAAGATGTGAAAAGTTAGTGAGTGGCATAAACTTACGAGATGTCGAAGACAATTCATGTAGCTAACGTGGACAGTGTGGTTAATGAAGATGGTTTCCTGGTAGAGAGAGCCATGTGAGTTCACTTCTCAAGGGCAGGAAGTAGTTGAATGGCAGGAAGGGAATGGCTTCAGGAGAACAGGGAATCAAGGTAGGTTTCTCTGGCTGAGTAGACAGGCTGACAGAAGTCACTTACTTTCGTCACGTGACCTGAGGGACTCTTATTTGGCGGAAAGTCATTACCACCTTTGTTAGAGAGCTCACCCACACTTATTTGTTTTTCCTTTGCCAGAACACCTTAAGTAAGTTGAGTCCTATACTCTACATAGATTATATCTTATCAGGATGGAGGGGGAATTGGTTTTAAAAAGTACAGATTTTGGGCCTCCCCTGGTGGTGCAGTGGTTGAGCGCTGGGTTGTGAGGCTGCCCGCAGCCTCTGCAGCGCCAGTTCAATCCCCAGCCACTGGTGAGGGTCCCACAAAAAAAAAAAAAAAAAAAAAAAAAAAAATGGTACAGATTTCTGGACTAGACCTCAGATGGACGGAATCAGAATATCTGAGAGCAGGGCCTGGGGACCTGCATTTTTCAAACAAGTGCTACAGCTGATTCCTAAACTCCTTAAAGTTTGAGGATCCCTGGTGTCTGACAGTGGCTTTGAAATGTTTTTGGATACCTGACCAGAAGCAATTTTACATCCTGACCAGAGCATACATACACACACATGACTAAAATTAAACTTGCGTAAGACTGTATCCAACATACTTATTTCCTATCCTATTTTTTTCCAACCTACTAACCTGATTTTGAGATCCATACAAGTCCCCATCAGCAGTAAGACTTGTAGATATGTGTGCTTATAATTTAGCGAGCTGCTGTATCACTTTATATTTGAGGGTATGGGGAATGGAAGGAGGAAAAGTTACCTTTTTTTTTTTTTCAATTTTTTTTTTTTATAGAGGCATGTTTATTTATTTATTTGTTTGTTTGTTTGTTTTTTGTTTATACATGCACTGGGTACAGTCAGAAGCGCGGGAGGGTGAGAGAATTCACCAGAGCCAGAGCGGGGAGCAGAGCAGGCAGAAGGACCGAAGTACACTGCTGAGGGGAGCAGCGGGCCGCAGGAGAGGTCTGCGCGCCATGTGGGACCCTCCTCCTGTGGCCGGGGAGCAGCCGGGGATTGAACCGGCGTCGCAGAGGCTGCGGGCAGGTTCGCAACCCAGCGCTCAACCGCTGCGCCACCAGGGAGGCCCGGAAAAGTTACCTTTTTAAAGGCAGGTGGAGTGGGAAGTGGCAGGCAGGGTGTTCCAGCCTCCAGTTGGAAGGCAGGTGCAGTACTTGGCGTGAGTGGGCGGGGGTGTCTCCGGAGAATTTCAGGACGACAATGAGATAGTGATGGAAATCAAAGACATGGGCCCTGGGTGTTGGCATAATTGTAGGTAGTGCTTGTTAGGGTAGCTGATAAGATGATGGAGATTTTGCAGTTGAAGTATGGTAACCTGTGATTTCTCCATGGGTTACATGTAAGCTAATGACAGAGCAGTAACAGGGTCAGCTTAACACACCTGGTGAACAGCACATTATGCAGTCCGATGTCAGGGTGGGCGACAGAAAACCTGGATGCAAAGAGTGCAATAATGTCAGCTAGAACCCCAGGCAATCCTTTGGAGTTTTCAAATTGGAAAGGAAAGGGTGTGTCTGGACTTAACCAAAGAACAGGTTTTCATAACAGTATTTGAAAATGAATCCTCTGACCATGTGATGGTGTCTTCCCGACAGTAAGGAAATACTTAATTGGCGTGGGCCTAACAGAATTCCCTTTTACTGCTCTTGCTTAGCCAGTATTTCCAGAAGGACAGCCTCTGGAAAGATAGCAAGTTAGTCACCATGCCAAGTCCACTCTCTTATGATTCCCTCGACTAGCAGTAGATTGCTTAGCTTGTGAACCAGATCAGAGAGCAGCCTGCGGGAAAGGTCCAGGCTGAGGAGGGCAGTTACAAAAGGCTTTGTCTCTTAGGCCACCAGGCAGGGATGGACAATGCCCTGGATTTTGAAGCCTGAAGCAGAGTCTGCTTATGACGACTCTTCCAGGATCCTCTGGCCCTTTGACTGCCATTGGCTCTTGGGGCAACCTGGCGATGGCAGTCTGGGGACAGTTTCGGGAGGGTGGCCTCTGCTTGTCTGTGGAGGCCCAGCGCAGGGCTCCACACTCAGGAATGGCTCAGTAATCTTGTCATCTGACCTCTTCTTTAACCCTCTTCATTAAACCCTTTCAGTTGGAAGCTATCCAGGAATTTTGTGTCTTTTGAGAAAGAAAATGCACCAAGATGGGATTTCCCCTTCCCCCCAACTCTGGCGGTGTCCTTATTCAGCACCACTGCATGTCAGTCAGTGCACTGTTGTGTACGTAAGTGGTTTGGGTCAGCACTAATAGAACTTGCAGCAGTGGTGGAAATGTTCCTGCTAGAAGAAACACACAGCTGGCCTGCAACTGGTTAAATAACCCTCCGCAGGTCACAGGAACTTGGCATTTCAGTTTGCCTTGCTCTTATATACAAGGAAGTGCTGTCGATCCCACATCCCCCTCAGCGTTTGCAAGCTAGGTTTGGATAAGCAACAGGGATGAAGGGGCCCTGGGTCTTGGCCAGCACGCTTCTGGGGCTCTGATTTTCCCCGTTTGCCAGATCACTTCTCCCTGGTGGCAGCACCCTCTGTGGGTACAACTCTTATTGCTTCTAGAGGAACCCTGTCTTGGCCATCCCTGCTAGGTTCCCTCTGTACCAAATTGTGTATGGTCTCCAGAGGATGCACAGTTAATATTTGTTCAGTGCATCGATACCTACCATAAAAGTGTTAGTATAATTTAATTGCCATTACTTTTAATGTTGTATACTCTATGTATTATAATACATTCACATGGTTCAAAATTTTAAAATTCAGCAAAAAAGTGCCCAGCTCTCTCAGACTTTGGAAAATAGTTTGAGATTATTTTGTGGAACTTGAGATACTCATAGTCCATGATCCAGGCCAGGGTACAAATTCCTCATGCGTGTGTATACCAATGAGAACGTTCACGTTCTGTTCTTCAAACTAGAACCAGCCCAAACAGCCATTGGCATTAGAATGAGTGCGTGAAGGTGTATCGATGATGGGAAAGGGTTCAGTACAGTGAGTGAAAGATTCAGGCATAAGAAAGTATAGAGTTTTAGGTGTTTTCAACCTTCAGTCCCATCTGGTTTCACAACCGGAAGAACTGCGTTATATTATTTAGGAAAGTAGGTGTAAGTGGTAAAGACATAACAAACAGCCGAGAAGTTATCATTATTATAAAAGTTGGGATCATGGTTAGCTCTTGAGGGGAGGGGGAATGTATGATGAGGAAGCAGCCCTTGGGGGCTCCTGGAGGGGGTGCTAACATTGTTGGGTGAATCGGGTGACCATTGGGTGTGGGTTTTATAATTATTTGTGAAAGCAAGCTATATTCCCTGAATGTATCTATATGTAATTCACAATTGGGGGGGGAAACATAAACCCATAATAAACATAAATTGAGAAAAATGTGAACCCCAAGCTTCCTTCAGTTCTATTCTCAAGTTTCCAATCCCCTCTGCAGAGGCAGCCAGCCTTGGGTGTGTATCTACATTCACACACAACGCAATACATTTCACGTTTTGTTTTTAATTTTTTTTTATTATTATTATTTTTTTTAATAGAGGCATGCTTTATTTATTTATTTTTTGTTTGTTTGTTTGTTTATACATGCACTGGGTACAGTCAGAAGTGCGGGAGGGTGAGAGAATTCACCGAGCTAGAGCGGGGAGCAGAGCAGGCAGAAGGACCGAAGTACACTGCTGAGGGGAGCAGCGGGCGGCAGGAGAGGTCTGCGTGCCATGTGGGACCCTCCTCTGGTGGCAGGGGAGCAGCTGGGGATCGAACCGGCACCGCAGAGGCCGCGGGCAGCTTTGCAACCCAGCGCTCAACCTCTGCGCCACCAGGGAGGCCCATCATGTTTTGTTTTTAAAACAAAACCAGTAGAAAACATGTAATTTCAAAGTTAAAAAAAAAAAAAAAAGAGCACCCCATGAAGAATGTAAGCTATGCTTACTGCCCAGCTTTTCTCATAAAGGTACTATGTGTTCTCCCTGGCCCCAACAACACCCACCTAAACCAGCCCCCCTGTTGGAGTGCTGGGGTGGTGGCCCAGGCGCTTCATTTCACTTAATCCAGTTCTTTCTGGCACCCCCACGAGGCAGGAGTGCTGATCCAGGCCAGGGTACAAATTTCTCATGCGTGTGTATACCGATGAGAATGTTCACGTTCTGTTCTTAGAAGCTTCAAACTAGAACCAGCCCAAACAGCCATTGGCATTAGAATGAGTGCATGAAGGCGTATCGATGATGGAAAAGGGCTTAGTACAGTGAATGAAAGACTCAGGCATAAGAAAGTATAGAGTCCCCATTTTGCAGAGAAAAACGCAGACACGCCTGTGACTTTGTGGTTGGGCTGTCTAACCATCACGCCCATGGTACCGAGTCCCCACCATGAGGTATCCAGGGTAGTTACCCTGGTTCTAGGTAGTTCTGACCAGCCTCTTTGTCACTCCAGGTGGCCCTGTGCACCCAGGTGGCCCTGGGCATGGAGCACCTGTCCAACAACCGCTTTGTGCACAAGGACCTGGCTGCTCGCAACTGCCTGGTCAGCGCTCAGAGACAAGTGAAGGTGTCCGCGCTGGGGCTCAGCAAGGATGTCTACAACAGGTAGAAGGGCATAGGGAGGGGGGATGGTGGGGCAGAGGGCAAGTATAGGGGACAGCTTAGTGGCTAGAGGCCTGGAAGAGGGGCAGAGAGATTTCTCTCTCCAAAGGGGCAGCAGGGTTCTGTGCCAGCGGGCCCCAAGTCCCTGATGCTTTTATATATGTGTGTGTATGTATATGCATGCACGCACGCACACATGTGTATACATGTATGTATATTTGTTCCTGTGTACACACATGTATAAATATATGTAATGATAAATATACTTTTTAAAAATAACTTGTCAAACTTTATCACGTTTGATCTGTATTTTAACCGTTTGTATGGTTCCCTTGGTAACTTTCATTATTTTGAAGTCTAAGTCTTCAAGCTCAGCACCCACAGCTGGAGGTTACTCTGGAACGCCTATGCGGACCATGTTGTGTCTCTGAAAACTTCCCCCTCAAGTCACCCTGGTTCTGAGTCACCCGGTTTGTGTGACTCTTGCTTTTGTCCTAAGGTTCTTTAAATGGTCTTTCCTTTTAATGTGTTTTTGCTTTTTTTACTGTTTTTTGGCATCCCTGGGTGCACTGAAATGATTTTTCACATTTATTAAACCAATATAGAAGTGATTATCAGTTTTTTAATATAAGTATCTAGACAAAGTTTGATTCTTTTTTTATATAAGATTTATTTATTTAGGGACCTCCCTGGTGGTGCAAGGGGTTAAACACCGCATTATGAAGCAATTCTCAGCCTCTGCAACACAAGTTCGATCCCTGGCGGGCCAGAGAGCAACCCACAGGGCGGAGCAGACCTCTCCTGTCTCGCCTGCTGCTCCCTTCAGCAGTATTTCAGTCAGTCTGCCTGTTCTGTTCCCCACTCTGTCTCTGGTGCATCCTCTCACGTACCACATTTCTGGCCTATACCCCAGCTCTTGTATGCATAAATAAATAAATCTTTAAAAACAAAGATTTAGCTTCACAGTGCCATGCTTAATCCCTTGTGCTACCAGGGAGGCCCCAAAGTTTGATTCTTTTTTTTTTTAAAAGACTTATTTATTTATGCATACAAGAACTGGGATATAGGCCAGAGGTGCAGGGCGGGGGGTGAGAAGATTCACCAGAGACAGAGTGGGGAACAGAACAGGCAGACTGACTGAAATACACTGCTGAGGGGAGTGGCGGGCGAGACAGGAGAGGTCTGCTACACCATGTGGGTAGCTGCCTGGCTGGCAGGGGATCGAACTCGTGCTGCAGTGGCTGCGGATAGCTTCACAGTGCTGTGCTTAACCCCTTGTGCCACCAGGGAGTCCCCAAAATGTGATTATTAATGAAATTTTTTTAACCATCTAACCCCATGTGGATGTCTCCAAACTCCATCCCATATCTACCCTCACCTCTACCTTGTGCTCAGCAGGATTGTCACCAATTTCTCTGAGTATCTTGATCTAGAAAAGATGGGTTCTGGTATAATACCGAGACTTGGGGTGAGTGTGGGCTGTGTCCCTCACCATACCCTGTGAGCCGCAGAGGTCTCACCTTCTCTTTGCGTGATTCTCTTCCTGCAGTGAGTACTACCATTTCCGCCAGGCCTGGGTGCCCCTGCGCTGGATGTCTCCTGAGGCCATCCTGGAGGGTGACTTCTCCACCAAGTCCGACGTCTGGGCTTTCGGCGTGTTGATGTGGGAAGTGTTCACCCATGGAGAGCTGCCCCACGACGGACAGGCAGACGACGAGGTGCTAGAAGGTAGGCGGCAGTGTTGCCGAGGGGGGATGCCAGATGTTCTTCAGGTAGAGAGCTTTCTTGGGGTTCTGGGACCTGCTCGGCCTGCATCCCTCTCTGGTATTAGCAGGTACACAGACGTGGCCACCCTGGTTACTGAAACGCTGAAGTACCTCCATACTGGCTGGTGAATAGTCCTTGCCCCTGGGGCCCATTGCAGCCCTGGGCACTGTCTGTTGCTCATATTGTATGAACCCTGCCTCCAACAGCTAGAGAGAGTTGGGGCCGAGAGCATCACCCCCATAGGAGGCGGGAAGTTGTGTAGACTCCCAAGTCAATGCCCACCCGCACTGGCAAGTGCCCCTGCTGTCAGAGTCACCCTCAAGTGGCTGCCTATGGGAACTGCAGGCTCCGCAGATAATCAGACAGGTGGCTAAATGTTTTCACTGACACTCCACCCACCATCTTCCTGCAGACTTGCAGGCTGGGAAGGCTAGACTCCCCCAACCTGAGGGCTGCCCTTCCAAGCTGTACCGGCTGATGCAGCGCTGCTGGGCCCTCAGCCCTAAGGACCGGCCCTCCTTCAGCGAGATCGCCAACACCCTGGGAGACAGCCCCGCAGACAGCAAGCCGTGAGGAGGGAGCCCTGGCAGGCTGTGCCTCAGGATGGCGTGGGCGGGGGAGGACCTCTTGAGGGGCACCTGCAGTATGCTGGGCAAGATCCCCATCCTTCTTGGCCCCGGGGGCCTCGCCCTGGCACCACAGGCACTGCTGAGGTCTGGGCAGAGCCTGGGCTTTCCTCCTCTTCCTCTCCCTAGCCCTTGGGGAGACTGATGCAGACCCAGACATGGTGACTAGGACCTTGGGCTGGGCAGTTTTCTCTGCCACCCCTCCCCCCATCGGGGACAGTGTGGGTGCCTCAGGTAACCCCAATATCTGGCCTGCGTCTCCTCCCCTGACCAGGTTCAGTTCTGCCACTCACCTGCCACCCTTATCCAGGGAGGGTGGAGGCAGGCTGGAGATGAGCTGGATTGAGGGGAGTTTCTTAATATACTCAAGTTCCGGGGGTAGTTCTGGCCTACTGGCCCACCTCGGGGTATGTAGCAGGGTCATGGAGGACAACGCCAGTGAGTCCTCCCCCGTGGACTTGTGCACACCGACCCTGACCCATGCCTCCCTCCCCACCCTTCTCTCCTTTCCTCATCCTAAGTGCCTGGCAGATGAAGGAGTTTTCAGGAGCTTTTGACACTATATAACCCGCCCTTTTTGTATGCACCTTGGGCGGCTTTTGTATGTAATTGCAGCGTGGGGTGGGTGGGCAAGGGAGGGAGGGGAGGCCCTGGAGGAGATGGGGAGGGTGGGCCACCCTGCCTCACATCTTTATTGTTGTTGTTTTTGTTTGTTTGTTTGTTTGGTTTGTTTTTTTTTTTTTTTTTTACACTCGCTGCTCCCAATAAAGAAGCCTTTTTTACAACCTGTTTCTGAACCTCATTCCCTGCTGATGTCACTTCCTCCACACCCCCCACCCCAGTAGAAGGGGCCATGTGGCCTCACAAGTCTGGGGGAGGCCTGGATGGGAGTAACTGGCAGACACTGGTCATTCTGTCTGGTGTTGAGAATGTGGGCCTGGAGGAGGTGAGGCTCTCTCTTACCCTGTGACCCCGTGTTGGTCTCACCGCCAGCTGCTTATTCTAGTCCTCATGCTGAGGTGGGGAGGGTACAAGTGTGAAGTGGGGACGAGTTAGAGTTGCATTGGAGGAGTTAATGACAGATTCCAGTCTCTGGAACTCTTTTAGACACTAGGAAGGAGGACTAGATGTTGATGAGCTAGGAGATGGTACTGGAGGCTGCTTTGCTCCAGGGCTAAACTTTTTTTTTTAAAGGATTTATTTATTTATGCATACAAGAACTGGGGTACAGACCAGAGGTGGAGGGCGTGAGAGGATTCACCAGAGACAGAGTGGGGAACAGAACAGGCAGATTGACTGAAACACACTGCTGAGGGGAGCAGCAGGTGAGACAGATGTCTGCTATGCCATGTGGGTAGCTCCCTGGCCGGGGATGATCTTGTGCTGCAGCAGCTGCGGATTGCTTCATAGTGCTGTGCTTAACCCCTTGTGCCACCAGGAAGGCCCCCCTCAAACTGTTTGATTCCTGCCCAATATTATTATTTCGGTTACTTCAGCCTGGTTTCCGCCCTTAGCTCTAATTCCTTCTAGTTCTCACTTCTTATTAATGAAACTAATAACTAGTATTTATTGAATCTTTGCTCTGTACCAGTCACTTTGCTGAGCGCTTAACATGTGTTATCACATTTAATCTCTGCCACTACTCTGCTAGCCAGATGTAATTGTTCCCATTTCATAGGTTAGGAAACAGACTCAGGGAGGTCAGAGTTTCCCCAAGGTCACCTAGTGCTGCTGTTTTTAGGCAGCATGTTCCATCCCTCAGGTGTGTTAAAAGTTAAAAAAAAAAAAGAAAACAATTTCTCTAGGGCAGAGTTTTTCAAACTGGGTTTCCACCAGCATTAAAAAAAAAAGTAGGGCCTCCCCTGCTCCTGGTGGCGCAGTGGTTGAGCGCTGGGTTGCAAAGCTGCCCGCAGCCTCTGTAGCGCCGGTTCGATCCCTGGCCACCGGGCGAGGGTCCCACATGGCGTGCAGATTTCTCCTGCCGTGACCGCTGCTCCCCTCAGGAGTGTACTTCATTTGTCTGCCTATTCTGTTACCTGCTCTGGCTCTGGTGAATTCTCTCACCTTCCGCACTTCTGACTGTACCCAGTGCTTGTGCAAATAAATAAATCTTTAAAAAAAAGTTAACAATAGAAATTATCCAATTATATGCCTTAAGGGTTAGTATTGTTTTACAACATTTGTAATATTTGATACCGGTTTTTGTATACTGGGTGTGTACTAGGTAACGATGCTGCATAAGAAACCTCAAATCTCATTCACAATTTATTTTTCTTACTCATGGACCTGAGGGTTGGTGAGGTTTGGACTTGGCTGAGTTCAGCTGGGTTTGGCTCCACACCGTCGGTCTGGCTGGGGTCTGCTCTGGAGCATGGTCTCATAAAATGGCAGGAGCCTGGAATCTGCATGCAGTCTGCCTCTTTCTAGTCCTGTCCCTAGAGTGTTTGACCTCTCCAAGCCAGATCATACAAGAGCATTTAAAACCACAAGTCTGTTAACATTTTATCCATCAAAGCAAGTCACAATTTGAAACCACCATCAATACTGGCAGGAGTTACTGCAAAGTCACATGATAAAGGAAGTGATGACTAGTTCTAACACAAGGTGTGAAGAATGGGAGCAATAATCTAATCACCACACTGCTGTGTAAAAATGATTTCTTAGGTGGGCTGTCCTCAAATACCAGAAAGGCACTATTCTAGAAGGTCTAATCACTCCCTGGCTTCTTGACTCTGCAGTTGCTGCATTGCTGGCCATCTTCCTCTCCAGATACTCCTCTCCTGCCTGTGGTGATGGTAGGTCCACTCCCCCTTCACTGGCCAGGCCTTCTCCAGCACTGGGTGGGATGTCTTCCTTTTGCCTGCCCCAGATGTGGCTGTCCTTCTGAGAATCTGCCCTGGGCCTTCCTCTCTCCACATTCTCCCCCTCGGGAATCTCACCTCACTTTACCTGGCTTTCACTGGCCTTTCAATGTGGGCAGTTCCCAAAGCACTAGCTCTATTTGCAGCCTGTACCTCAAGCTCCAGACACATTCTCCCCATTTTCCAGTGGATATTTCCCTTTGGGCCCAAACTGAGCTCTCTCCCTAAACTATGCGCCTACTAAGTCACTGCAGTATGAGTTTGATCCCCGGCCAGGGAGCAATCCACATGGCGCAGCAGACCTCTCCTGTCTCACCCGCTACTCCCCTCAAGAGTTTATTTCAATCTGCCTGTTCTGCTCTCCACTCTGTCTCTGGTGAATCCTCTCACCCCCTGCACCTCTGGCCTGCACCCTAGTCTTATATGCATAAATAAATAAATCTTTTTTAAAAAACCCACAAAATTATTCCCCTAGTACAATTTTCTGTTTCCATTAGTGGTAATACCACTGTATGGAGAAAAGTCACCCTTACTCCATCTCTATCCATCATAGTCTCTGTTCAGCCCCTCCCTGTGCAGTCTACTACCAAGATCCATTTATTCTACATCTGCCCTGTTTCTATCTTGCTTAATTTTAAGAGGGGAAAAAAAATTGTGTAAAAGTAATACTGATTGGGCCTCCCTGGTGGCGCAGGGGTTAAAGTCTCAGTGCTATCAAGCTATCGCCAGCTACTGCTCATGAGTGCCAGGAGCTAACCACATGGCTCAGCAGACCTCTCCTGTCTTGCCCGCTGCTCCCCTCAGCAGTGTATTTCAGTAGATCCATCTGTTCTGCTTCCTGATCTGTCTCTGGTGAATCCTCTCACCTCCACACCTCTGGCCTTTATTTATTGTATGCATAAATAAATAAATCTTTAAAAAAAAGTAATAATTGGTCCTCCCTCGTTGTGCTAGGGGTTAAGATGCAACCTATGAAGCTATTTGCAGCCACTGCAACACAAGTTCAATCCCTGGCTAGGGAGCTACCCACATGGCGCAGCAGACCTCTCCTGATTTGCCCACAGCTCCCCTCAGCAGTGTATTTCAGTATATCTGTTTGTTCTCTGTTTCTGGTGAATCCTCTCACACCCCATACTTCTGGCCTGTACCCCAGTTCTTGTATGCATAAATTAAAAAAAAAGTAATATTAATCACGGAAGAATTCAAATGGCACAGACTTCATAAAGCAAAAAATACACACCTCTGGTCCCCAGACACCACTCTCACTGGTATTATTAGTGTTTGGAGCATGGCCTTCCAGACTTTTCCTGGACATACTGTCTCTATCTATTTCTCTTCTAATGTTGCTATCATAATTGAGATGCCTTTACTTCTACATGAAGTTAATTCCATTGAAAAATTTTAGTGTTAGCAATTGATTTTTTTGGTGTCAGTAATTTTTTAAAATAATTCTAATTATTGTTTTGATAGGGAGATAAAGGTCAGGAGAAAAAAATATGAGTCAAGATGGAATGGTATCATATGAGGAAATGTGTATGGAATTTTTTAAAAAAGATTTATACATGTAAGAGCTGGGGTACAGGCCAGAGGTGTGGGGGGTGAGAGGATTCACCAGAGACAGAGTGGGGAACAGAACAGGCAGATTGACTGTAGCTGGAATTTCTGATGGAGGTCTCTTCGTGGCCTGGGTGTGAGTGCCGCTATTTCCAGGGGGCTATTGTGATTTAGGCCTTATCGGAGAAAGACTGAATTCACATTCCAGAGAGGGCTGATGGGGCTTATCTGAGCTCAGTGGCTGTGTGGCGTCTATAGTAAACTTGAGAGCAGATGCCTCATCTGTGATGACCACTCAGTTTCGCTCCTGGCTGCAATGCTCCAGTGGCACTTGGGTCCACAGTTGCTAAAAATCCCAGTAGTGAGAGAAGCTACTCACATTTTTGTGTCAAATGATATTCAGGTTTCTATGTCAAAATAAGATTTTAAAATAATGGCCCAGGGCCTCCCTGGTGGCACAAGGGGTTAAGCAATGCACTATGAAGCAATCTGCAGTCTCTGCAGCACAAGTTTGATCCCCGGCCTTGCCATGGAACTACCCACATGGTGCAGCAGACCTCTCCTGACTCACCCCCTGCTCCCCTCAACAATGTACTTCAGTCAGTCTGACTGTTCCCCACTCTGTGAATCCTCTTAACACACACCCTCCCCCCACCCCCTGCATCTCTGGCCTGTACCTCAGCTCTTGTATGCAAAAGTAAATCTTTAAAAAATAGGAAGGGCCTCCCTGGTGGCGCAGGTGGTTGAGCGCAGCGCTGTGAAGCTGTCCACAGCCTCTGCAGTGCCGATTCGATCCCCGCCGGCCTTGGAGCAACCCACATGGTAAGCAGACCTCTCTTGTCTCGCTTGCTGCTCCCCTCAGCAGTGTACTTCGTCAGTTTGCCTGTTCTGTTCCCCGCTGTGTCTCTGGTGAATCCTCTCACCCTCCCGTGCATCTTGGCTGTACCCTGCTCTTGTATAAATAAAGTAAATCTTTTAAAAATAAATAAAATATGGCCCAAACAAAATACACTTAGGAGACAGTTTTTGGTTTTGACCAAACAGCAGGGTCGCTGCACATGGAGTAATCCAGTACAGTGTGGGTGTCGGTCCCCTCCTACCCTGTGGTGACAAGTAACTGAATATGAAGCTATCCTAAGCCAGGGGAAGGATCTGTGGTACTAACACTGGTGCTAGGAATAGGGTGAAATTGGAGAGAGGGCAGCCTATTCTCTATGTGAAGGAATGCTGAGAATTGTGCTCATCCTGGTCACCCTGCCCTGTGGTTGTGGCAGAGAGCAGTTCTCTGAGGTGTCACTGCTGAGGACTCTTACCCCGTGTCTAAACTTGGGGTCTCAAATGGAAGTCTTCAGAATGAAACCCCAGGCTGTGGTGGTAAGTCTGTGCTGCAGACAAACCATATTCCCAGATACCATTTGTGGCCCACAAAGTCCTTCTGGAACCTATTTATCCATTTGACCTGTTCTTCCTCTTCAGCTCATGTGTTACATACATTTAACTGCCTGTTGTGTAGAGTAAGTTAGGAGGGCCTCCCTGGTGGCCAAGGGATTAAATCTCAGCGCTATGACCTCCATCACCTGAGTTCAACTCCCAGCCAAGGAGCTGACACACACATGGTGCAGAAGACCTTTCCTCTCACCTGTTGCTTCCCTTAGTAGTGTGTTTCAGTAAATCCACCTGTTCTGCTCCTCACTCTGTCTCTGGTGACCCTGGCCCTCGCACCTCTGGCCTACACCCCAGTTGTTCTATGCAAAAATAAATAAAATCTTCAAAAAAATTGGGTATTGGGGAGTAGGAGGGCTTTTAACTCCCATATATAAGGGGCTTGATGCCCAGTGTGTATACACTATCTTAGAAATCTCAGAACAAACTGTTTTTGGATTGTGAGTCACAGTAAGAAAATGTAGTTGACATTGTCATCTAGTAAACATATGCATGGAATCATTATGAAATCTACAATATCCTACCCTCTTGACCTGTAAAGTGGTGGTTGTATATGGGTCAATCTAAAAATAACAAGTCTTATGCAATACTATTGTAGGGTAAAGAAAATATCAGGCTTTTCTGCCCTTCCGCCATCAGGATAGATGATGGATCCTTGTCCTGAATGCATGCCTGATGGTGGGCACCTGGAGTAGGGTGTGGGCATAGGTAGATGGGATTCACCCGGGGTGAGACTGTGCTTTTAAGGGCGGCGTCACCGGGTGGGGGGGACGCCAGCAGCAGCAGCAGCAGTAGCAGCAGCAGCAGAAGCCGAAGCAGAAGCCGAAAGAGAAGCCGAGAAGCAGCAGAACGAACGCCAGAGAGCCCAGATAGAGTGAAGACTTGCTGGGGGCTGGGAGGCCTGCCAGCACCCCTGCCTGCCATATGCCTGGTGAACCCCAAATAAAAAACCTGCAAAACTACTGAGGACTCTGACTCCTCCTTTACCCGGTCTGCATGGGATCAGAAAACCTGCACTGTGGCCAGTCCGGCCCTTACAACTATTTACCCTTGCTTTTGGTGATACCCATTAATTTATTACTTTAAATATTGGTTGCAGTATACGAAATTGATTTCGTTACCAGTACAACTAAAGGGTCACACCCAACTGCTTTATTTAATCTTCACTAAAAAAGTTTAACGCGGCCTCCCTGGTGGCACAAGGGGTTAAGCACAGCCCTGTGAAGCTATGCTCAGCCTCTGCAGCATGAGTTGGATCCCCAGGTGGCCAGGGAGCAACCCACATGGGCAGCAGACCGCTCCTGACTCACTGGCTGTTCCCCTCAGCAGTGTACTTTGGTCAGTCTGCCTGTTCTGCTCCCCACTGTCTCTGGTGAATCCTCTCTCTCTCTCTCACACACACACACACACACACACACACACACACCCCGTCTCTGGCCTGTGTCCCAGCTCTTGTATGCATAAATAGATAAATCTTTAAAAAGTTTAACACAGGAATCATTTTTTCCTGCCCCCTTAAACATTATACTTACCTAGAGATGAGGTGATTATCTCTATTAACTCTATGCTTCAGTCTTTATGGCTTTAAAAAATGTGTATCACGAACTTCACGGCATGGGTACCAACAATGAATACGGTTTGGAGAGGTCAAACAATTGTTTACAGGTACATTCCAAATTTGAATGATTGCAGCAAAGCCCAAGATCCACACTCATTGTGAACCTGGGCTCTGCAGTACCCCAGTTCTAATCTTCTCCCCCTCCTACGGGAGCTTTCCCCGGCTTTTCAGAGAAGGGTGTGTGTATGTGTGTGTGTGTGTGTGAGCGCGCGCGCTCGCTAACTTTCTGTGCAGACACTTGGCCCCAGGCCTTTGCATAGCCGTGGGGTGAGCTTTATCTGCGGGAACACCTCCTCCCCCAGCCCAGCCCGCAGCTGGAAGTCCTCATTGAGCTCCCCCCGCCCCCTCCCTCCGGAACCGGGAGGCCCGCAGTCTTTCCCGGTCTTTTGCACACGCACGTCTGGCGAGGACGTCCCCTCCTCTCTGGTGCCGGGAGTGATGAATGCGGGCCGGGGAGCCGCGCTGGTGGGAAAGTGACGGCGTCTTGAAAAGAGAGGGAAAGGGAGAGGAAGTCGGGGGGAGGGGGGGAGGGGGGCGGGCCGGCGCTCGGCGGCGGGGGCGCGACGCGTCTAGACGTGGGGCGCCCAAACTTCTCCCTGCCCGATAACTTCGCTCCCTCGCGGAGGCGCGCGGGGGGCGCTAATGCCTGCGCGCCCTTGGCATCTGGGTGCTGGTTTATCCTTCCCCGCGACTCGCACCAGCTCCCCAGGGGCTGCCAGCGTCTGCCCCCAGCCCCTCCAGAGCCGGCTCCCGGCGCCGTCCCCTCTCCTCCGCGAGTCCGCGCCCCGGTCCCCTCCCGGGCTTCCTCTCCGCGGGCCCCTCCCAGCTCTCTCCACCATTCTCCGGCCGGCGGGGCGGAGCTGGCACCTCCTCTCCTGTTCCTTTAAGAGACGTCAGCTCCTCCTCCTTCGGAGTCGCCGTCTGACGCGCGATGACAGCAGCGAGTTCGGCATGTTTATGCAAATGAGCGCCCCCTGCGGGCCAATAGGGAGCGGAGGTGCCGGAACCGCGGACCAATGGGGCGGGGGCGCTGGGGCTCACCATATAAGGAGCGGCCTCGCCATAAAAGGAAACATTGTATCTCTTTATATGGGGGGAAGGGTCGGGGGATCCCTCCGCCGCCAGCGCGTGGTCCCGGCCCCCTCCACCCGCCGTCTCGGCCGCGGCCAGCAGCCCCTGCCCCCGGGGGACGCTGACGGCCGCCGGGCGCGCCGCCCTCGCACACGGACAGGGGCGCTCCGCGCGGCCTGGGGCAACCCGGGCCCCAGGGGCAGCAAAGTGAGGGCCCAGGTCGGCCCGGGCGTGCAGGGGCCCCGGGTTCGCGGCGACGGCGGCGGCGTCGGCAGCGGCACTCGCAGCAGCAGGCGCGCCGGGTTGCGCCGGGAAGCCCATGGCGGCGGCGGCGGCCCCGGTTCCTCGCTGACTGGCCGCCCGTCCTCCTGCACCGAGCGCCATGTTACCGAGCCAAGCTGGGGCCGCGGCGGCGCTGGGCCGGGGCTCGGCCCTGGGGGGCGGCCTGAACCGGACCCCGACGGGGCGGCCGGGCGGCGGCGGCGGGACTCGCGGGGCTAACGGGGGCCGGGTCCCCGGGAACGGCGCGGGGCTCGGGCCGGGCCGCCTCGAGCGGGAGGCTGCAGCCGCGGCGACAACCACCCCGGCGCCCACCGCGGGGCCCTCTACAGCGGCAGCGAGGGGGAGTCGGAGTCGGGCGAGGAGGAAGAGCTGGGCGCGGAGCGGCGCGGCCTGAAGCGGAGCCTCAGCGAGATGGAGCTCGGCGTGGTGGTCGGCGGGCCCGAGGCGTCGGCGGCGGCCGCGGGGGGCTACGGGCCGGTGAGCGGCGCGGTGAGCGGGGCCAAGCCGGGCAAGAAGACGCGGGGCCGCGTGAAGATCAAGATGGAGTTCATCGACAACAAGCTGCGGCGGTACACGACCTTCAGCAAGAGGAAGACGGGCATCATGAAGAAGGTACCGGGCCGGGCGGCGGGCGGCCGCGGGAGACCTGGAGGGTGGGGACGCGCTGGGGGACCCGGGCGGGAGGCAGAGCCGAGGCGGAGGCGAGAGGCGGCCGGTCCGCGGGAGGTGTGTGGGAGGGGAAGGCTGTTACCCCCGGAGGGTGCGAGGGGAGGGGCCGCCCGGAAAATGTGGGGAGAGGGGAGATGCCGGCAAGGTCCGGCGAGGAGGGAAAAGGCGCGGAGGTGGGAGTGACGGGCGCGGGAGAGGAACTGGGCCCCGGCAGGGCAGCGTGAAGGGGCAAGGAGCGGGAATGCGAGGCTGCCCTGGAGGTAGCTAATGGGACGCGGAGGTCAGCGGTCCAGAGCCTCTGGTGTTGCGGGGAGGGCGCCAGAAGGGCTGGGAGCAGAAGAGACGGTGTGGAGGTGAGGAGGCTGGAGCTGTATAACAATGAGCGAGCATGTGTAGGAGGAAGGTGGGCTCCACTATAGTAGTGCCGGCTGCGAGGCAGACAGGACTGGGGACCAAATTGGGACTCAGGAGCTCCCAAGGTAAGGGAGCAAACAGGTCAGGGGAACAGATGTCGTCTCCACCAAGTCCCCAGGTCTTCCATGGCATCCACTGGAAACCCGCACACTCCTTACAGGACAGGCTTCAGAACCATCTGGACTTGGGACAAGTGGATTTTCTAGGGAGAATCTGTGTGTGGAGTTTGGGGAGAAGTCAGGGAGGGCTGCTAAGTGAGGTGCCTAGATATTCCTCCTCTTATAGCCAATTATCCAGTGAAAAGTTGAGGAAAGGAATGGTGGTTGGTGGGCCCAAGGCATTGGCTGGCATAGATGATATGGAATAGAAGCTGAGGAACTGGGAAACCAGAAACTAGAACCCTGGAAAATTGGCTGGTGTTTATGTCTGTCCCATATAGAAGCCAGACTGCTTCCAAAGGGGGGTCATGGAACTTTATTGGGAGTGAGGATGCTATCTGTGGGTCCATCCTTGAAGGTCCCCTTCCTGGGCTCATGACAGGGGAGTACCTGCTGCTGATCTACTCCATCTCCCATCACACCAGACACTTGTATCAAGACAAAGAAAGAAAGAAAAAAAAAAAGAGGTAGCACAGTATTATAGGGCAGAAGGACAAACATGACAACAGGTCAGGGCCTGTGCCATTTCTGGGAAGAAACATGGGACAGGTTAGAGCTCAGATGGCCCCTTATTGCTAATGTCTGCATGACTTCCAGCGTAGTATCCAGGTCATCTTGGTCCCTGAGACTGTGAGGAGGGCGTGGGAGCCATCTTCCCTAAGGCTTCAGCTACCTGAGCCCCGTTCCTCCTGAGGCTGTCACCATGTCATCAGGGGGCCATGACTGTTTGGGGTGTCCACAGGTCAGTGGGGTTGCACCTCAAAGGAGAAGCATGGATAGTTTTGCTGCTCTCTAGCTTACCTGCAGATATCCTGATAGGACCCCCACCCCAAAGAGTAACTGGAGGGGAAGGTCATTGTGGGAGTGGGGGCTTGAGAAACAGTGTACTTCCTCTCTTTCCTACTTCCCAAGGAAGGTTGAGATCAAAAGTTTTGCTGACCTACCCATCTCCTCCCCACCTATCCCCAGGCCTATGAACTGTCCACGCTGACAGGAACACAGGTGCTGTTGCTGGTGGCCAGTGAAACAGGCCATGTGTATACCTTTGCCACTCGCAAACTGCAGCCCATGATCACCAGTGAGACTGGCAAGGCACTGATTCAGACCTGCCTCAACTCGCCAGACTCTCCACCCCGCTCAGACCCCACCACAGACCAGAGAATGAGTGCCACAGGCTTTGAAGAAACAGACCTCACATACCAGGTGTCGGAGTCGGACAGCAGTGGGGAGACCAAGGTGTGTTTGGGTCGACTCTCTGAGGGGAAGTAACAGGAGGGGTTTGATTGGCAGAGGGGGGGTTCCCTCTCACCCTCTCCCAAAACAGGTGGATAAGTGCCCAATGATGTGGAGTGGAGCTGGGTTAGTGCTCTTCTTCCTACTGGACAGGTGTCCATCCTCGCTATCCTGACAGGAGGCCGGCCCCCTAGATAAGCGGGCGGCCTCCGTGCCCATATAAGGCCGGCTCCGGCTCCCCGCCGGCCTCCTGCTCGGAGCCCGCCTGCCTGGCAGGGCCCTTGCATTCCTCCCGCCAGCTGTCTCCCCATGGGGGCGGGGGCGTAGCTTAGCCCGGCCCTCCCGGCAGGCTGGGTCTCAGGGGAGTAGGAAGGGGCATTCATGGGTTCCAGGGTCCTGGGAACCCAGCACTGCGGGCTGGCGTACTGACTGATGGAAGCTACCTTACCAGCCAGCTGCCTACCTCTTCAGGAAGTCCGGGCCGGGCACGTTAGGGAGTGTATTCAGCTGTTAGGGAAGCCGGCCCTAGTTACGCCTCCCCCTTCCTTTTCCCGGTAAGGGGAAGGGGCGGGGCTTCCTCCCTTGCTCGACTGGGGAGCTCCACCTTCCGGGTGGCCCTTCACTAACTGACCAATCGGAGGAAGCGGCACTGTTTGCCTTAGCAACGCCTCCGCCAATCAGGGTTTTCAAGTGCGACAGCTTAGCAAACATTTAGCGCTGACCCAACCCCAACCTCGAGTCCCCACAGTTCTCATCTGGTCTCAAGGCTTCCTCCTTACCCTTCTAAGAACAAAGGCTCCCTGAGGGGACAGTCTGCCCTCCCTTCAGTGGCATGTCATCTTTAATAATTTTCAAATTCTTAGCAATAAGGTTCATTTATTTCCAGAAAATTTTCTTGAACGAATAAATTCATTTTGTAGTTTAAATCTTAAGTTTTTGTTGGGATAAAGTGCTTTACTGCCAACCTCCCAAGATCTATCAAACCCTAAGTTCCCTGAAAAACTTTGTTTCAAAAGTCTGGCAAATCAGAGCTGGAAGATCCCTTTTAAAGAGGATATAGGAGACCAGCCCACTGATATTTACCAAAGAGGAAAACTGAGGCTTAGATAGAGAAAGTCGTATTCCCAGGGTCACACAGATGGTCATTGCCAGTACTGGGAACAGACTCTCCCAGCCAATGTGATGACCACAACCCAATGGGACAGAGAACTCAAGGAATTATGATGATGATATCATTATCATGTGAGCAGCAACTACTTATATTGCCTTTTTATGTGCCAGACATGCTCCTGAATGCTTTGCTTTTGTTGGTCTATTTAATCTTTACAACACCAGTGGGATGGGTGTTATTTTCCTTTTATAGACAGGAAACTGAAGCCCAGGAGCTCAATAACTTGCCTAAGTGTCTAGCAGCAAGTAAATGGCACAACTGGGATTTGAACCCCAACTTACTGGTTCTGGTCTGGGCTGTCAATTCACATGAAGCTTCTGTAGGGATGGGACCTGGTAGAAGCTCACTGCTCCATCTTTACTCTGGGTGTAGGACACACTGAAACCAGCGTTCACCGTCACCAACCTGCCGGGTACCACCTCCACCATCCAGACAGCACCCAGCACCTCAACCACAATGCAAGTCAGCAGCGGCGCCTCCTTCCCCATCACCAACTACTTGGCACCAGTGTCTGCTAGTGTCAGCCCCAGTGCTGTCAGCAGTGCCAATGGGACTGTGCTTAAGAGTACAGGCAGTGGCCCTGTCTCTTCTGGTGGCCTCATGCAATTGCCTACCAGCTTCACCCTCATGCCTGGTGAGTCACAAAGGACACATTGAGCCTGCTAAAGAGTGGGTTTAGGGCTGGCACAGGGAGAACCTCTTCCTCAGATCAGAAGGAGTATGACAGGGGCCAGAATTTGAGGGGAGCCTCTTCTGTCCCGTTGGTAGGCATGTACCTCTCCACTGGGGCCCCCACTGTCCTTGTCTTATCTAGCTTGTCCATCCCTGTGCCCCCATTGCCACAGAGACAGTAGTATTCTGTCACGTCCCTACATTAACTGGGGTGCCCATCATGTCCTTGATGGTTTGCTACCAGCTCCTGTGTCAACTGAAGAGAGCAGAGTCAAGGGCTGGGGGTGAGGGAGGAGGGGAGGACAAGAGTAGAGTGTGGAGCCTTGGGACACAAAGATTTAGGACCTGAAGGGTCTCTTGCGCCTAAGGAAAGATAAGGAGTACAAGTTGGGGACCAGTGTGCCAGTCCCTGGGCATGTTTGAAGGTGCTTGTTGCAGGTGGCCAGAAATAACAGAGAATGAACAAGTCTCTATGTCTCATAGGAGGGACAGTGGCCCAGCAGGTCCCAGTGCAGGCCATTCAGGTGCACCAGGCCCCACAGCAAGCGTCTCCCTCTCGTGACAGCAGCACAGACCTCACGCAGACCTCCTCCAGCGGGACAGGTATAGCTTGAAACTCTGTCATCTCCCTGCCCTGCCTCCCTCAAGAGGCCTAGCAGCAGGTGCCCAACAGTATCCTATAACTAAGGTCAGAGAATTTCTTAATGTGAGACTGAGGCTTTTGACTTAATCCTAATCCTTATGGGAAAATCAGGTGAGGGTGGCTGGGTTTTGAATCAGGCCCTGCAGTATGGCTATGAATTCCAGGAAGAAACTAGGAAGGAATCTTTGAAGGCACCCTCTCATTTAGATGAGAAGTCTGAGGTCCAGAAAGGAGAAGTTACTTTCCAAAAAACATACATTTGCTTAATTACCAGGAAGGATTTATAGAGCAATTGTCTCCTGTGGGAGGATGTCCTAGGTTTTGAGTAGACTTAATTCCCCTCGGGTATCATTTCAGAAATGATGAGACCCTTTTTACAATGAAATTACTTTTAAGTTCTGGTTATTTATAACCTGTTACACAAAGTGTGACCTATGGGCAGGGAGCAACAGCAATCACCTGGGGACTTGATAGAATGCAGGATGTTATGTTTTTGTTTTGTTTTTATTTTTGCATTTATTTTACACTCAGTTAATTCCAGGGCTATAAATTTTTGTTGCTTTGGTGTCTTCTGAGATATCCTTTTCTTCTGTGCCGCCTCCTCGTCTGGTTTAGGATCAGTCTATTCTTTTTCAGTGCGGTCATCTGAAGTGGGGAGGGGGAGCCCAGAGGGTGACCTGACCACAATCTCTGGAGGTCCTGTGCCACATCTTGGGGTTTTGTTTACCTGGATGTGCTCAATGACCCGAGAAACTATATCTGAACCCTCAGTTCAGCATTACTCTTTGCATTTTTAAGCATGTGCAGTAAAAATTCAGCACCTTTTTGAGACACTGGTCCCGCATCCAGCCCCACTGTTTGGCCTGAACACACCTACCAACTCCACCCGCCACTGTAACAATGGATGGCACGCATGGCTTCCAGAGAGTAATGTCCCTCAGATTCTGGGTGGCTTTTTGGATATGCACGCCCTTGACAGCCTGGGCGGCTTCATGAATTTTCTTAAAATGAACACAAAGATTTGAACCTCTTGATTTGCATTGCATTGTGGGGTTTTCAGGGGCCAGTAAGTAGTGAACCTTTTTGGAGATTACCTAAGGCTCACAGGAAGAAGATCAGAAGTGCAGACTCTTGGGCCTCCCTGGTGGCACAGGAGTTAAAGACAGCACTATCAAGCTATCGCCAGAAATGCAGATTCTTAAGCTTCATCCCAATCTCCTAAAACAGAATCTGCATTTTAACAAGATCCCCAGGTGACTGCATGCACATAAACATTTGAGAAGTACTTGTTTACAAGATGAATGTGTTAGGCACACATTTAGGAAGAGGAGGGAGTGATAACAAAAAAGGGGACCATGGAGCCCCTAAAATGGGAGTATCTTAATTTCCTTAGGGTGGCAAGGGCCTTAAATTAGAGTGCTCAGCTGAGCACAAATAGTGCTACTCACAGGAGTGCTCACAAATAGTACTCAAACAGTGAGTAGCATAATGTGACAGGATACGGTAAAAGGTTGGGGCTATTGTGGTCAAGAAAAAAGTCAGGTTTTTCTTAAGTCTTGTCTAACTTCTAACCTGGGAAGTGGCAAGAGGTGTGGAATTCCTGGGGTGGGGTGGGGGAGATCGGTAGGGACCAATGCTGACCTCCCTGATGAATGTCTGTGTTTGCCAGTGACATTGCCCGCCACCATCATGACGTCATCCGTGCCCACAACTGTGGGCGGCCACATGATGTACCCTAGCCCCCATGCAGTGATGTACGCTCCCACCTCGGGCCTGGCTGATGGTAGTCTCACCGTGCTCAATGCCTTCTCCCAGGCGCCATCCACCATGCAGGTGTCCCACAGCCAGGTCCAGGAGCAAGGTGAGTGGGGGGGGGGCAGGGTGGGGAGAGTGGGATTGAGGAAAAGAAGACCATCTCCTCCCTTAATGACATACACTTACATCCCCCCCCCCCCCGATGTGCACACTTACACACACACATACACAAACTCAGATGCCCACAAGCACACCTACACATAAATACACACACTCTGGTATCATGCTTATCCACTTGGACACTCATGCACATATGAACATTGACACCCATTTGCATAATTTTCTTTTAAAAATTTATTTATTTATACAAGCACTGGGTATAGTCAGAAGCACAGAAGGGTGAGAGAATTCACCAGAGCCAGAGCGGGGAGCAGAACAGACAGACTGACGAAATACATTGCTGAGGGAAGCAGTGGGCGCGGCAGGAGAGGTCTCTCGCGCCATGTGGGACCCTCGCTGGCCGGCGGGGGATTGAACCAGCGCTGCAGAGGCTGCAGGCAGCTTTGCAGCCCAGCGCTCAACCACTGCACCACCGGGGAGGCCCCCCCACTTGCATATTTTGACACATTTGGACATACCCCTTTGACATATATGAGACTCTACCTGGTCTATGCTTTTATCATTATCCCTCCAATATCTGGAAGTTTCACTTGAGCAAATGATGTATCTCCTGGTTTTCCAATGCAGGTGGTGTCCCCCAGGTGTTCCTGACAGCTCCATCTGGGACAGTGCAAATCCCTGTTTCTGCAGTTCAGCTTCACCAGGTAAGTAGAGGCAATTTTCACCCATCCCAGCCAACCAGCCATTTCTTTATCTTGGCCTTAGGAATTGAGCACGGTGAGACTTACCAGCACCGTGCTGCCGGTCTGTCAAAGGCAGGAGGCCTGTTTTCCTGGTTAGGGCTGTGGTGGGCAGGCAGGCAAGCAGTGGGGAGCCTGAGCTGACCCTCCCCTTCCTTATGTACTCTCTTCCCTCCAGATGGCTGTGATAGGGCAGCAGGCTGGGAGCAGCAGCAACCTCACCGAGTTACAGGTGGTGAATCTGGATGCCGCCCACAGCACCAAGAGTGACTGATCCGCCCTGCCGCCCTGGGCAGATGGCCCAAGGGACGGCACCACTTATTTATTGTTGCCTTTTCACGTTTTCTTTATACACATGTTGACGGGCCGCAGGAGGGAGGCAGGGAGGAGGAGTGGGCAGCCACAGGACTGAGCCCTCTCACTCCAGCCAAAGAAATGGGCCAGCCTGCCCTCCACCCGGCCCTCCCTCATCCTCCCCTCTTTCCGGCTCCACCTCCCATTTCT